TTGTTTTCAAGATTTTCAAAAATAAAGAAACAGACAAAATATATATAGAAAGTGATTTTTGCTTAGAATACTAAACGTGTTAAGTAAAATAATAATAAATATAATAATTGTGAGTACACAAACTGTTAAAGAAAGCTGGTAAGTGGTATCGTCTCTTGGTTCAGAGGGAGACAATTCAAATTCCTAACAGAGAGGTGTGGGGTCCATTGGGTGGGGTTGAATTTTTTTTATTATTTTTTATTTTTTAACTCTATTTATCAATTGGAAGAATTAATTAGGATTTAGGTCCCCAACATAATGGAAATAGAATGAGTAGGTATTTGTTCTTCAACTGATAGAAAGTGAGTCCCTGCATGCCTAATTGCTATGATTTGAAGGTTGTAGACCTTCTTGCTTTATTTTGAATAGATTGGTGACTCTGATTGTAATTTTTCTTTCTAAGTTGTATGTTGTCCAAATGTCAACGCACACAAATGTTCTTCTATGTTTTGGCTGTTATGTGAAATTAAGATCCAATTTGCGCTCCATTAAAATGTATTTTTGGGGGAAAAATATAATTTGAAATAGTGGTTTTTTGAAGAATATATTGTTAAAAATGAAAGAAAAATTTTGAATTTATGTATAATATTATTTTATTGAAAAATGTGTAGTTAAAAAGATAAGAAAACATTATATTTTGGATAAAAATGGGTTCAAGCAAGAGCTAAGATCTACATTTTCTATTCTGATACTAACATTCTTATATGGACATTTGTCGTCCTTTCAGACAAATTTCTCAAATAAAGTTGAATAACAAATTGATGTCTTGCACTTCGAAACAAAGCAAGTTGGCTTCACGAGCAAACTCAACGAAGAAATTGGATGGAGCCAGTTTTAAAGGACAATTTGCTCACCTAAATGTTCCTATCAAGACATTATTGAGCCAAGTTGAAAAAGACAACTCCGGATTCCACATGGTAGCCAATCAATAGGGACCATTTGAAAGAATTAATCCTTTTGTTTGTGCACACATGTAATGCAGCTTTAAAATTAGTAAATTAAAATTGTATTACATTTACACTTTACACTACGATAGAAATTATATTTTTAATAAATTTTGATAAAAATTGGTGAAATGTGTGACTAGAAAGTTGATAAAATTTGTGAATCCTATTAAATACGTTGTTGAAAATGAGAAACAAATAACAACTATAGTTGAGAGAAAATTTTACGCCTATCAAGTTTGACAAATTATCGTTACAACAATATTTAAGTTGATGTTCGATTAACTTTTTATTATTTCTATGATCATTCGATTTTTTTTATTTTTTTTTTCATTTTGATGTGCATGCTGTTTTATATTCATTCAACGTGTTTTGTATTGTGTTCTCGGACATTTTTCATGCGAAAATTAGCTTTAAGAGAAAGAAATCTTGTAAGGAAAATTTTCCATATTACCATAAAAAATACATTTATATAGCAAGTGTAGAAATGCTTCTTATGAATGTCAATTATTGCGACCTTCAATTATTGCTTCACTACGACAAAAAAAATTAAAAAAATATATTTGAAAGTATTTATTGATTTTGAATTAAAAGAAAAAATAAATGAAGAGCACATTTGTAGATGACAATGAAAAGCATCAGGTTTTGGACCGCACAAAATCTATGACCGATTTAATTAATTAATCAATTTCAAAAGCTTCACAATTGATTGCTAAATGACAATGGAAATGGCAATGACCCTAATCCTAATGCATTTAAAGGCCAGGTTGGATGAATTAATATACAAATCAATTCTTGATAGCCAATTATGAGTACTTAATTAATTCTATTTTTTAGATAGAATATGAAAAATCATTTAACGGGCACCAACGTCTATCTTATGTTAAGTACGATGACTTGACATATTAATTTATTTATAGATAAATTTATGGTGGATATCAAGATTTAAATTAAATTTGTCATCAACCAATGAATTAATATGTTGTATCATTGATACTTAATATAAGATGAACACCGTTATTCATTATATCATTTTTTAATCAGAAGAAAATAGTTAAAAATAATTAAGTAGTGTACTCTTTCAAGACTAAGTATCATGAATTTAATCTACACGTCATAAGTCGTGTCAAGTATATAGATAAAAATTATTAGCCTAGATAAAATGATTCAACAAGGTTAAAAAATTAAAATGCTATAAGTTCTAGATTCTATTACTATAAATAAATTTCTCCCTTCTATATCAATTTAAGCTTAAAGTGAATTGCTTCAATGTACTTTTTTTTGCCCTAAATGAAATTCAGATAGTTTTCCATGGACCTTTCTTGAATTAAGAAAAGTAAGACATTAGACGTATCATAAATTCTTTTTCTTTAGGTCCAAAAGTAAATAAAGAAGATAAATTATTTAGTCATAATTGGATCCCTCTCAACATGAATGGTCAGTATGCATTAGTCCTTAAAGGCAACTTTAGTACTTGTAAGAAACCAATCGAATATATGCAAAAATGGAAAAAACATTGTCATAATTAAGCCAATATAATTATACAATAATTTCTTTTAGGTCCACGAAAGAAAACATTAGAGGTACAAAGCATCTCATTGAAATTGCCAAGAGCCAATACGCCTAAAATATAAATCGATTGCTAACGTCTTCTTGACATGTTATGCGTGCAGCACTGAAAAGAATCTAAGTAGAGTAGACGAAGATTATAGCTTTATTTGTTCCTTACTATTGTAAAGTGCACATTACAAAATTAAATAAGCCAAGGCATACAAAAAAGAGGGGCGTGTAGACTTTATGATCTAACTTTTTAATTATGAAAGCTTAACACTAGAAGGTGGATTATCTAAACAGATTTTTTTTATTTTTTATTTTTTCACTACCTTTATACTTTTTAGTAAAATAACTTTATGGGGTTCGATTAATCAGAACATTTACAAAAGGCAAAAAAAATAAAAAATAAAAATAAAAATCCCAAGAAAACTATGTGTAAAATCTTGAAAAAGAAGCCCCGGAACACAGAATTTCTGTCCTTTAAGTAACCTTTGTTCCAAGCAATTCTAAAACTTCCTCTCTTTTTCCAGTGTAGAACTCCGATTATCCTCATTCTTTCATCTGCGCGAATCCTCTTTTCTTTGCATGATAAACTGCGAAAATGGCTGTGACGCATGCTGATCTTGCTCCAAGTCGACGAAGCTGTGATCTAGGCAGCAAAACTGGTGCATTTTTAATGGTTTTGTCTACACTTTTCAGCCTCTTTTCCTTCATTCTCTGTCTCATTTCCGAGGCCAGTCGATCCCAGGTAATGATCGGAACTTTGTGATGCCTCGACCTCAACTATAACTATAATCTCCATGAGTGGTTTCATTCTATCCTTTATTATTCTCAAAAGAAGGGATTAAAGCTTTTGACAATCTTACTACATGTATATCATAGTTTACACTTTGACTTACCGAATTTATGCTTGCACAATCTCACATTAGCTTTCATATCTTACACATTTAATTCAACTATCACAATCTTGTCACGTCATCCATCTGTCAACAAGGTTGTCAAAATTAATGTACAAATAGCTTAATTGAAGCTTTAATCTGACTGATACTAATGCAGATGATATGGCAGGCGTTGAGTGGTGAAGGGAAAGGAATGAAATCCTAGTGTACGTATTCAAGTAGTGGCAGAATCCCTCTCCTGTCAGCAGCAGGTGCATTTTTTGCTTTAGCAATGGCAATGGTGATACAGCATACGTACCTATTGGTTGCAGTGAGTAAATCGGATTCTCTAATTACTTGGTACCCTGATTCTGATTTTGCCAGGAGCCTCACGTGGCAAGCTGGATTTTTCTTCGTTGTAACTTGGTACGATAAGTACTTAATTTAACTAGAATTTAGTCATAGGAAATATTTATGTTTTCATCTTCCTGCATGCCTATGTAACAGTTTCTTCTATGAAATTAAAAGAATTTATCGTATGAGTCTTTCTGATTAACATGTACCATGTGTCTACTCAAGTTTTGAAAACGTTTATTGCATGTTTGATATATTGGGCTTGTCAGTTTTGAACTACGAATGAAGAAAAATAAGTTAAAAACCTATCATTATTATTTACAATATTGCTAGGTACTAACTACCCAGCATTCTGTAATGGTTAAAATTTTCAAAACGTCGGTTTCTTGACTCCATTGCAGGGTATGTTTTGCCGTTGGAGAAATTTTGTTACTAATAGGAATGAGTGTTGAGTCGGGACATCTGAAAAATTGGCAAATGCCACGAGAGAGTTGCCTAATAATTCGACCGGGTTTGTTCACAGCTGCTGGTGTGTTCGGTCTGTTAACTGTCTTTCTTGCTTCTGGTTTATATATCACAGCCCTTCGAGAACAAATGCATACACAAGATCAAGAAAATACATTTCGCGAGATTCTGGAGGCCTCGGTCCTGTACGCATCTCCACCGAGATCGCCTGGAAGAATCCAAGCCGTTCCTAATGAGAATCCTACTTCAAGACAAGATTAGAATGTGCATACATTGTACCACTACTTAACAGACTGACAAACATTCAAATTCAGTTTAAAGAGGCAAAAAGTGGCATAAATTTAAATTTATATAGCTACAAAACCAAATTTAAATTTAAATTCCGTTGCTAATTATTTTAGCTAAAAGCGAATTACTTTTACCAACAGATGCAATCCGTTGGTAATATTCGGTACATCACCTACAGAATATCCGTTGGAGGAAGATCCAAATGTTAAACGATTATATTAGGTACAGAATATCGGTTGATAAAGAGATATTATCTTTACCAACGAAAAATTCGTTGCTTATTATCGTAGCTAAAAGTGAATTACTTTTACCAACGGATAATCCGTTTCTAATCACCATCGTTGGTAATTTTTCGTAGGTGAAAAACTGTTTTTCAGTAGTGCTTAGACAATAGAATAACATATAAGTTTGTTCCATTAAATAGCACGTTCTTCCTCATGGCTGCAACTGTATCAAATCTTGACAGAATTTCACTGAACTGCTTGAATTAATAATTCTTTAAACTACAACTACCTTAATATTTAATTATAGCCAATTAGTGCACCCATCCACGTTCTGGAACTATCCAAGAATTAATAAATTTTCTTGTATTTGTCCATTTATTTGAGTCAACCGCAATTTGTTCCCTATTGAAATCCATAGAAATTGAACAATCTAATCTCAAAATTTTCTTCGGAAGGTCAGTGATAGAGTGGTTGGCTGTTAAAGGTTATGTTTTGACCGTCAGTACCTCCGTATAGGTCGAGGATAATCCGTTGTCCCATATCCCAATGAGAAACTAACTTTCCTTCAGCGATGAAGATCAAAGCGAGTTACAGAAATCGGCCATTTGCTGGTGGAGAATGCCGGAAGAATTCGATTAAAATGGGCATTTCAAAATTGACAATTCTGATTTCTCAAATCTCACTCCAAGAATCAAAGTGCTGCGAGAAATGGAGAGGCTGGCGTTTGTTGCTGTTGAAGGATTTGAAGATCTCCGGCATAAGCTGATAAGTTACCGGCCCGGCGACTTCTGGTTGCCGGTCGGCGGGATCAAGAAGGAAGATATGGATATACCGGCTGTGATCACAATTCTTCTTGTGGGGATTTCTGGTTCTGGGAAAAGTTCTTTTATCAACTTGATGTATAGTGTTCTTGGAATATTTGGCCTCATCCCTTTTGCTCAAACATCAGGTAAAAAAATTTCGTACTAACTTATTATAACGAATCTAACTGAATTTCAACTAATTGATCTCAAAGTGGTTACATGTCTTTTATTTAAGGGAAATGCTGGAGCAACAAAGTTTTCTAAGTAAATTATCTTGTGTTAATTTTCTTTAAAAACTCTTCTAGCAAAATAATACATAATAAAGTTATTAAAATATGTTTAAAAACTGTTTCTTAATCTCAAAAGCAGATTTTGACTTATTAAAAATTCTAACAAACGGGTCCTAAGTTATGTTAAATAAAAGGTTGGTTTCATACGTCATCTAAATTATTTTAGGATAAATGGTTGTGTGCTTGACTTCATTTTTATTTGATCGCCTCCCAAATATCAAATATTTCACCGCCGTCAAAGTTTTTACTGTTTTTCTCTCTTTACTCTCTCGTTTTATTATAAGTATCTAATTGTATTTTTTTTTTAATATTGCTCGTATTTAGGCGAATCTTCAAATTATACGACAATGTTTCTAGAGGAACACAACATTTTGAGATCACCAAGAAGTGGATTTTGTGTGTACGATACGAGGGGCTTAGATCAAAACCAAATGAATGACAGCTTAGAGAGGGTTTGGACATGGATGTCAACCGGTGTACGCCATAACCAGCCTTGTTACAGGCCTGGGGATGAGACTGGTGGATCAATGGGGATGTCAAATTCAAGATATGTTAAGAGACAGGTCAATTGTGTAATGGTTGTGGCAGATTTATCCAAAATTCACGAGGCATTCATATAATGTGGTGACTAGAAGCCAGTGGAGGCACTAAAAGACCTCTTCCATTTGCCATCTATAAAAAAATGCAGTAAGTTTTGTCACTTTATCCAATCTTTTAAATTATTGTCGCATGGAAATAGAACATGAGACACGACAAGTGAAAATGTCGTTTTGAAAAGAGTATGATACATAAAGATTGTAGAATAATAGTACACAGTGCCAATCCCTAGATGACGATCACAAACCTTGTGTTCCAAAATTTAATTTGAAATTATTTTTCGTGTCAATAGCTTAGCGGTAGAGTGATCTATTTTTCGTTATTCTTGTAAGTGGCAGAGGAGAATCCTATATTGATTCTAACACATAGAGATACATTGAATGTGAGGATAGAATTAATGACCGGCTGAAGGTCTGAGAATATCTAGGTATACCAGAAACAACTGGTGCATACGACATACCATGTTTAACAGAACAAGGAATTCTTCCTGAGGAGTCTGATCCCGTGACCGCATTTACAATGACGGAAGCAATTTACAGGGCATTGCTGCAATCTGATAGAACATTTCTCCCCAAGAAGAAATTCAAGGACAGGATAGTGTTGTTCTTGTCTTGGATCGTGTGTTGCATTGCTTCCTTCTTGCTATCCTTGCACATTTCTTCTCAAAATTTGGTCCTCACAAAAATAAGCTCAAGTTGTGAAGTATTTCACAGCTAGTTTTTAGGTACATTTGGTTGTGCTACGCTCGGTCATGCATCTTTGCATGGTCAAATACACCTGTGGTCGACAAACTCTCCCCCAAAATTTTAGGTAACTAAACTTCATTTTATTTCGTGCCGTATGTTTGAATAACAAAAAGGTGACATGACAACTTTAGGGGAATGTCCTCAATTGAGATTGCAATGGATTTTAAAAGTTATTTTAAATTTAAGTATCTTCAATTGAGATTTTATTGGATTTTAATTAAATTCATTAAAATTTAGGTGTCCCCAATTGAAATTTTAATGAAATCCTTTAAAATTTAGGTATCCTCAATAATTTGTGGATTTATAAAGATTTCATTAATAGAAGGATTTTAAAAGATTTGGATGGATTTCAAGCTTAAAAATAGATATAAGTAAATCTTTTGAAATTTCACCATATTTGATAAGATTCTTATGAAATTTGTAAGAATCCATTTAAATCCACCAAATTCATTAGAATTTATAATCATTTAAAATTCATTAAAATTTTAGCTGAGAACACCCTGTTAGTTATTTGCCACTAGATTGTCATGTCAATTTTTGTGAGTCAAACTAAAAAATTATGGACAAAATGTCAAAATATCAAATTGGAACAAATGCTCAAGTTCAATCATCACTTTTCAACAGAACAACACGAATATGTTTTTAACCCATCACTTGCATGATCGGGTGTAGTTACAATCTCTGATCTAAGAATTCTTTTGGTATGATTTCGACCTTGATGTTGTGTATATATATATAACTTTACAGTCTTGTTTCTCAAGGTTTCAAATACTTCAAAGAAAACGGAACAAAATTCATCAAATTTAAGAATGGTTACTTTTTTAATTTTCAAAAACTTTTAAATTATTGTGGATTTTCTTGGGATTTCCAAATCGCAGAAGATGCCAAGTCTGACTATCTCCCAAAAAAAATAGTAAGACATCTCAAGATCAAGTGGTGGAAAAAGTTTTTATAAACTAATGCATGTCCAAAAATAGTTCAAGTATGGCTCGGCAATTGCGAAAATCAACAAAAGAGAGAACGGGCTTTTCCAAGATTCAAGAAAAGCAAGCTAATTTTTAATAGCAAAAAGCAAGTTTACTTCAAGCTTCAAGCTAGCTCAGTGCAAAAACCCAAAATCCAAGGTGCAAAAAGCAAGTTTACTTCGGCTTCAAACGCTTCCAAAGCCTCCAAGTCAAGCTCACAACGAAAATGATTGTTACGAGATAAATATGGATGATTTTGGTGACCAATAATTCAAGAGAAAAATAATTCAAAAGGTGTACGATTTGATGACCAATAATTAAAGGTTTATGATTTTGATGCCTAATAATCAAAAGCAGGAAAATAATTGTCCTTCAAAAACAAATAGCTAATAAAGTCCTTTCAAGATTTCCTCACGAGAATGAAATAAATCTTCATGTTCGAAAGAACCAAGACCTCTACGAGAGAATCCAAAAGAAAGGCAGAGTGTATTTTTGTGAAGAAAAAAGATTTCTCTGTATTATATTTAAATTTTCCATAATCTTTCATTAAGTTGTTTTCAAGAATTGTAAACTATTCAAGATAATATTTGAGTCAAAGTTGCTATAAAAAAAGTCAAAATTAATAATATACATAAATATTGGCTTGGATCTGATCCAAGTGAATAAAAAAAAGGTAGGATTTGAGGTCCCTTAAAGGGTCCTATTACATTACACAATGCTATTTGGCCTAATTGACATAAACCCAAAAATGACCACAAATCCAACAAATTTACCTACTATCGAGAGGCTCAATTAGGATTGACTTTTTTCCATTAGAGGTGAGCCCCTCGATCCGTCAATTTGTAGTCGAGAGTTTCTTGAAAATTTGATGAAAATGTTGTAACGTGGCGTAATTTACTGTTCTAATATAATATAGTGATATATCAAAAGTTAAGTAAGGATCCGCGAAAATGGATAGTCATGATGGACAACCATTATCCGATATCAACTTTTCTAGTTTTTGCAACGAGCTCCACAAAAGGTGAATGATAAAGAATTCTACATTATTGGACAGAGCTGTGTGCACAGCATGACACACAACTCGGTTCACAGCACCCTCACATTGGGGGCTCGCGTCATTTTTTTATTTGTGCGGGACCCACCGAGCCGTGAGGGTGCTGTACAAACAGCTTATTCCTACATTATTTGTTGGGTTCGTTGAGTGCTATATATGTCAATGTCCTGTCAAATTATATTTGGCGTGCTTGGGCCAATCATTTTGGCCCTTCAAAGAAATTGGATCAATTCAATTGTGCACGTTTGACAAAGTTTAAATTATTATATAAGTTAGATCAAATATACTTTTAATCCATATATATCACGAGATTCACAGATGTTATTCACTATTAATCACTTAAAGATATTACCAAACATGCACTATGAGATCTGGAATTCATCGAATTCATAGAAGTCCTAACTCAAATATTTTGATTTTTGCACGAAAATTCCATTGGTACACTGAAATCTAACATATTATTAATGAATATAAAAATGATGGTGAGAACTAAACAAAACATCGCTAATTAGAAATGTTAAATAGTTAAGAAATGTAAACTCGAGCCTTTTTTCAGCATAAAAATATTTTGGGTAGGACGTACTATCACACTACCTACGTGTATATGTGCATAATACTTCTGTTTTTTAAGAAGAATATCAGTGGATTCCACAAAACGTGTTAATATTAATAAATGACAGGTTTTAATGTATATTTGAAATTAAAATTTGAATTTTACTAAGCAGTAGAAATAACCTTGAATTCACTAATAATATTTTACCAAACAGAGAAAATACATACATATATTATTTTAAAAATTGAACAAATTTTGGATGTTAATTCGATAATACAACTTTGCATGGTGGGAGTTGTAACTTCGAGGCAGTGGTCCTGTGTCCTTTGGTTTGGGTAACAAACAAATTGGTCTCATGACCCGTTATTTTCATGGGTTGTCACCATAATATCCAAGCTAAAATTTTGTCCTTGCACCTCAATCTTTCCTTTAGCCTAATATTTTCCTGTGAATTCAATAAAAGTAACAACGAAACGAATAGAATGATAAACAAAATAATTTATAAAGTTGTCTCTAAATTTTAGTAATAGATTTTTATCTTTCTCTATATACTATTCAATAATCTTGAATTCCCTATTAAACAACGGTGTATGTATATGTAGTTTTGGTCACTTTGTTGGTTCTTCTTATACATATTTAACCATAAAAAACGCTCACACTTCAATGTGTTGTCTTTTCATATATATAGTTAACACACACACACACACACACACACACAAATGGAAAATTGGCCTTAGAAAATTTATTATCCAAGTAGTAATTTGGTCATCTACCTACAAAAATGAGTTAATTGATTCGCAATAATAATTTTAATTGCACGATGAATCCCGAATAAAGAAAATTGTCCAAATGTTCATTGAATAGTCAATTGAACATGTCTCACTTCAAAATTTGAACGACAATCCACGTGAAAAGGCAGAAATTTAAATTTATAAAGTTTAACATGTGAAATCAAATGAAAATTTATCGTACTATAAGGATATTTTTGTCATTTAGGAACAAATTATGAGTTATAATCAAACACTAGGATCAAAATTTTTCTTCGTAAAATTTGGGTAAAGACTAGCAACTAGAACTAGAGATTGAGACTATTAGAGCAATTTCATATAACTTGTATTTTGTCTTTTTAACTTTCCAGTGATTTCTTTCCTCTAATATTTGTCATTCATAATGTGGTTAGTAAAAGGATAATCTATGGTAGTCATCAATTTGGTGTGGTTTTAGAGTTTGCTACTTGGTTTTATAGGATGCCACTCGTTAAACATTTACCTATGGTTTTCGATGGGCTCCTTTGTTGTCTTATTTGAAAAATATTCTTAATATATAATACTAACAAGGCAGAAATGATATGTGGGCTGTATTTTTCAGGCTCACGTGTCTTTTAATTTGATTGGAAATATTATAATATTATAATCGTGTTTGCTGCACCTTTATTAAAGAAGAAGAATGGGCGATACTTTTGAATGAGAGAGCTCCATCTTTTAATTAAAATTTCAATCAAATTTAAATTAATGACACAAATTTTATTGACGATAATTAGGTGAGAGTCACTAACTGAATCGGATATTTAGAAAGTCGATTAGAAAAGTGTCAAGTGTCAGGTCAAATTGATGGTAAAAATATACTATAAAATACGAATAAAAACTAAACTTCGATCAAAACCATCCAATTTGAGGTTGAACCATCAAGTCTATAGGTCAAATTAATAGTTTTCGATTTATAACCTTCACCAATAAAGATTTTTGTATGAATTCTAAATTTTTCTATAGTTGAATTACTAATTCAATCCAATATGAAATCTTAGTCATAATTCTAGACAACGCTAAAGTGCGTAACAAGCCATTTCCAAAATGTTTTTTCTCTCTCTTATTTTCAATCATAAAATTTTCAATAAAATAATATTACACGCAAATTTAAATCTTTTTCTTGGCCCTTGTTTGATCCTTATTATTTTCAAAGCACATTTTTCTCTATCTTCTTTTTAACTACATATTTTTTAATAAAATAATATTACTAGCAAATTCAATTTTTTTGAAACACACATTTTCCATCAATCTACTATTCCAAAATATATTTTACGAGACCACACATTCTGTATTAAAAATACTATTTCAAAATGTATTTTCAGAAAAAAATGAAACACAAACAAGCCCTAAATATCCACAAATAAGGATAAATAGTTTTTATGGAACTCAAATTCAATTTCCACTTGGTTCCATTAACTAATTGTTTCTTATCAAAATCCAATATTATCAAAATGTGGAAAAGTGTACGGTCGAGATTTTCAGTAGGAAAAGAAAAACCTAGAAACAATATATGGCGGCAACACGAAATAATTTTCTCAAAATTCCGTAAGTACCCAATCCAAAAATGAAAAATCCAATGGCGCCCTTTTCGTACTTGTACACTACAATTTGGCGGGTGTATTGTTTTGATCAAAATATTTGTATCCAAGCCCTTTTTAGTCTTTTCACTCTCCCCGCGCGCCTTAGGGTTTTCATAAACTCCAATATAAACTCACCCCAGAATATTTTCCACCCGCCCCCTTTTTTTCTCAGTCGGTCATCTCTATCCACATGTCGGTTTCAATTCAATCCTAGCCGAATTCCTCTTCGCTCACTAAACCTCATCCGCCTTTCTCGTAATCTCTAAACCCTTTTGCTCTCTTTATACATAATTATGTATTTATAGGAGCTGGTATTTACTTAGTGAAGAGTGATCATTGTATCTCTTAAGTGATTTTTTGGTTTATCTTGGTTTTTTGTTACTTTGATCTGAGCAATTGGTTTCTAGCTGTTTGATCCGTAAATTTAATCTGGGATTGGTAAAATTCCTTCAGTATTTGCTCACAAATGGTGGATCTGAGTGATAAAGTAAGTGATCAAGTTCACAGAGCTTAGTTTTGTATGAATTTTTGTTATAAATATATTTGCATGATTTGTTGAGGTTTGAGTTTGATTGATTTTAATTATTTGATTTGATTCAACAGGGATTGGATTCTGAAGACATGAAAACCCAAAATAAAACTCGAGATAAGGCTTTATCTGATGGTTCAACCCATGTTAAAACTTGTGTTGATTGTGGCACCTCAAAAACCCCCCTATGGAGAGGTGGTCCTGCTGGCCCCAAGGTAAATATAGATTCATAGAATTGTATTTTTTTTTTTTTTTGGTGATAAGAAGCAATTAATCTGATTTACTGAATGTTTTGCTGTGTGCAGTCTCTTTGCAATGCATGTGGGATCAGGAGCAGAAAAAAGAGAAGGGCCCTATTGGGAGTGAACAAAGAAAATGAGAAATCAAAGAAATATGCAAGCACCAAGAATAGCGCGCACAGCAATGACAGTAGTACCAGCAGCAGTGGGGACAGTACCAGCTATAAGATTGGAGATTCATTGAAGAGGAAATTGTGGTCATTTGGTAGAGATGTGGCACTGCAAAAACCAAGATCAAATACTCCTCAGAGGAGAAAGTTGGGTGAGGAAGAACAAGCGGCATTTCTTTTGATGGCTTTATCGTGTGGCTCTGTTTATGCTTAGAGTTGTACTAGCAGCAGTTACAGTAGTACCCTTTTTTCAAGTAGTTGTACCGTGAGCTCTAAAAGGGAAAAAAGACAAATTGAGTTGAAAAGGGTTTTTCAAATGTACCTATTATGGTATTTAAATGAAATTAAATTGGAGGAATTTCATTATCTTGAGATTAATTTCTTTAAATTTGTTCAAATGTTGCGAATGAACGTCCTTAATTATTGTCTTATTCATTTTCTTAAGTTATTTAAAATATGATTTATTTGACTGGCAAGACAACAAAGTTGAAAAAAGTTTAATATTGCCCCTTTTTTATATTTATAGGGTGTTTGGAAGATATTTTTACGTAAAAATATATTTTTAAATAATAAATTGATGAGAAATATTTGGCTTAAAAATAAGGAAATTTTTTTGATTTACGTATAATATTATTTTAATAAAGAATGTTTGGTTGAAATGAAGAGACAGAAAAATGTATTTTGAAAAAAAATGGGTACCAAATGGTGTTTTGAAAAAAAGATTGAATCTATTATTTATCAATTAATTTATGAAAATAATCTTTTAAGGCTTTGTTTGTTTTTCATTCTTTCACATTTTATTCTATTATTTTTTTTTTACACTATTTATTTTTAATCATACATTTTTAATTAAAATAATATTACATGTAAATAAAAAAAATTTCTTTCTTTCTCAATCATACATTTTAACATTAATCACTATTTTATAATACATTACTCACAAATAATGGGACACAAATACACACTAAAGTACTTCTAATGGCCACAAGATTTGTCATCCCTCTTTTTTTTTTTTTTTGGTGGGTGGGGGATGGAGATGAGGAACCTCATATTTAACTGCTTGCTCCCCTCCTAAATGATTATCTTATTCCAAAAAATTGTCATAGAATCAAGAAATCGAAAAACCAAATTAAACGAATGCTTTACTCTCCAATCTTTTGCAACCCCATATAACCTCTTTCATTTCATCTTCTTCCTCATTCTCCCCAATCTACAACGAGGGGGGGCAGTTTGGGTTTGAACAAAAGGAATTGTTAAGGTTGAAAAAATGATGAATTGAAATGACATTTTTTTTAAAGAATCATGTTACTTGTACAGAGTATCAAGGACACTTGTTCTCCTACCATTGGGAGGAACATAAAATACAGGGAAAAATGCCTTTTAAACAAAGAAGCTTGTCGGATCATTTTCAACATGGCTAGTGAATAAAATGTTTGCCTACCTCTTCGAACTAACTTGGTATATGTCAAAACAATGGTGGTGAAATTGTTTATGAAATAATAGGCTAAGGACCAACAAGATAATTTTTAATTAAAATTTTAAACTTCGTACTTTCCGTCTTCCATAGTGATTCAAATTTGAGTTTTATTAAGTGTACGACGGAATTGACACTTCAGGTGCAGACACCTCAAAAGAAGGGAGTCATGATTTTTCTATTGGGCATGGGCCCTCCTCGGCGATTCAAATTTGGATTTTGTTAGGTGTACATCGGGGTTGAAACCTCGACGTATAGTTCTCCTCATAAGGGGAGGATTCACGATTTTTTATTGGATGTGGGCATTCTCACTTCTATGAGGGGGCTGTACACCAGTATACAAGTAGCAAAACACTTCAAAATTTGGTTTGGTGTTAGCTAAATATCACATTTATTAATAAAGATACATTGGAGAAACATCTACATTTGGCAAAATTTTAGGATTATTTATAATTAATCAAATTTCATTTTTATTTAATCTCCTGTTTGGTGAGGATTAAAATCAAATTTTTTGTATATTTTATAAAAGTTGATAAAATATGTTATTGAAAAGTTGTGAGCCCAATAAAATATGTGATTAAAATTAATGGTTGACTTTGACTCAGATTAAAATTAAAATTTCAATTTATACCAAACAAGGGGCTAAATATTTCAAAACTAATTCACAAGAACTACCCAAAATGAACAGAAAATAGATGAACTTAGTTGGAGCAAGCGATTTTTCAAAAATAGAAATGAACCAAAATTTATTACAGTCCGCAAATTTTAAATCTTATTTTTTTTCATGGGCATTGATATCGTCCGGTATAGCATCTCGCGCCGTTCAGGGGCACCTGAGTTAGCCACCGCCAGCCCAACTGGCGTCTTGACATTTTCACCAATTTTGACTTTCCTTTATTATGATATATTTTTTGGAGAGCTCTCCTTCAACCATCAAAGAATCAAGTAGAAAAGTTCAAATAAGGGTTTCTTAGGTGGTACCAAAGGATGTATTTTATTCTGCTTGTGTGATTTTGAAAATTATTGATTCATTTGATAGGAGTTCTTATAAAATTTCTTCTAACATGTTTTTTTTATTTAAATTTGATGCTGATTTTTGTGTATTTTTTTTATTAAGAGGGTTTTGAGCTTCCAATTTTGTTTGATAAATCATTATGTTAGGAGTTAGCAATTGTTGTGCGGTTTAGAAGTGGATTTTTGGTTGTTCAATCTTTCGGTTACCAATTTCAATTTGCTTGCTTTTAACTATGTCGAGATGTGATTTGGAGTGTTTTTTGAATAATTGGATTGGACGAACAATGATTCCTCGAAGTATTGTGTATGGCAAATGGAACCTACCGTTTTTGTCATGCTAAAAATGGCATCGTAGCTTTTTCGTTACTTTGAAAATAGTACCACTACCCATGCCGTTTTATTGTAATGCAAAAGAATGTTGTTTCTTGTTAGTATTATTTTGCTCGTAGTGTTTGGCTGTTGTAGGTTTGTTTCGATACTTTTTCAATTTTCATTATATTAATGTTATTTACTTGGTTTGTCGTTGAACTACATACTACTATTTATTTATTATTATTATTTTTTAAAGTCTGAGTGTAGTAAGAATCTCTTTGCAGCAGTGAATTTGGTGAAAATGGCACCCTTTGGAAAGGGTGAGTGTTTTTGTGCAGGCTATCTCGATTTTACTCCAAGCATCCTTTGTTATTTTTGAAAACAGTTAAAAAGAGTTAAGATGTTGCTCTTTATTGCCTTGTATGGCCGAATTTAGTAGAATTGAAGTTAGGGTCCGTTTGATTGTAAAAATGGAATTTGGGTGGAAAGATAACGAATTCCAGAAAATTGAATTGTCTAGAACTTGTTTTACTGGGAATTGTCAATTAAATGTATTTGATTGGTATAATTTTTCATAGGAAAATATTGAATTTTTGAATTTTTTAGTGTTCGTTTGGCTTTGTTTTTCATGAAAATTATCAATTAAAGTGATAAAATTTATTATAATTTGGGATAGAATTTGTTTCAATTGCAAAATAATAATAATAATAATATTAATATTAATAAAGGAAAAAAAGAAAAAGAAAAAGAAAACCCGGAAAACCAAAAACCTCCAAATGCGTTAGAAAACCAATTCCTCAAAAAGGCGGAAAAATGGTCACGTGGGGTGTTGTCAAGAAAATTTGGCTAATCAAACATTCAAAAATGTGAAAAATGAATTTTAATTTCCTAATAACATGGAAAATTTTTGCAATCAAACAGGACCGTATATGTTGTTAGTTAAGCAATACTCACTCGCTTGTCACTGTGTCAACCTCTAAGTAACAATTTTGAACCGAGCACGATGTCAGGGTCATACTAGCATAAGAATGACAGACGTGAAATTGGTTAAAATGACCCATTGTCATTTAAAAATGTTAATTATCATTTTTTTTTTTTTGCAAGAGGACTTGATTTCTCTTCAAACATCTTTGGTTATATTTGAAAATGCTAAAAGCAATTAAAAATATCTAAGTTATTGCTTTTCAATACCTTGTATTGATGAATTTAATAAAATTCGAGCTAAATTCGTCATTAATTTGTAGTACTCAATCCTTGTCATTGCATTGACCTCTAAGTGACAACTTTGGATTCACTACGATTTCTAAATGTAGTAGGTATGTATTAGTCATACAGTGGATACAAAGACAAATGGACTTGGAATTTGTGAAAATGGCACCCCGTCGTTCAAAAAAGATAGGTGTCGTTTTAATGCACGAGTCATGATTTAACTCCGAAGATCTGGTTTACCTTTCAAAACACTCAAATAATTAAGAAATTAAGTTCTATTTTAATTAATTTTCTTCTTGATCTACTTGCATTTCAACGTAATGACTTCTAAGTTACGATTTGAAATCAATCACCGGGACTAAATGTGGTGACCTAAGTTTGTTTTATAAAATTAACGGTCGTACAAGTGGAAACTAAGTCAAATGAATATGAAATTAGTTAAAATGTGTAATCAAGGTGTCAATTTTATCCCATTAGCGATTGATAGTACAAATATTGTACATGCTTTAAATGGATTATAGTAATTGAGATATTGCTTTTCCTTTATCTCACATTATGAAATTGAAAACTGTTTGAGTTAATTTCGTTTCTAGTGTTGGTCGACCTCAAAGAATGAAATTGAAAGCTTTAATTTTATGACCGAACTTGTATCAATATATTTGTTTAAGATTGTATTGAGAATATTGTAAATATATTAGTATTGTAATGCTTATGTTTCAATGATTTCTGTCTATTGTTATGGTGAAAATTCAGACAATACATATATTTTTTTGCACTCAATTAAAATATGTTATTTTTTTGTTGCTAAAATGTGGTTTAGAACCAAATCACAAAATAATAATAATAATAATAATAATAATAATAATAATAACAATAATAATACATTAATAAAAATAAAAATAAAAATAAAAATAGTTTGGTTTGACAAATGAAACGGTTTGATTTGAAAATTTTCAATATCACTAAAATTGTACGATTTGAAAATAATCCAAATCAAACTGTGTCCACTCCAATAAAAGCATCTCCAATGCTAACGAGGATTATGCTAAAAAGGTTGCCACATAAGCTAAAAGGAACCATGTCTATAAAAGTTCTAATGCAACGTGTCTATAACTATTTCTAATTGATGTGAGAAGAACAAAAAGTAGACAATGTCAAGAGGTCGTCTGAAACTCTGATGTAGAGGCTCTTCTATACAAAATGAGTTGCCATAATTTAATTATTTTTCGTTTTCTCTCTCATTTTTCTTATTTTCACTCTCATGTTTATATTATTTTTCTCCTTTCTATGTGTATTAGAGAAAAAATATGAATTATATGCGAAATTTGTTGAAGATAAAATTTGAATTACACTGTCTATTTAT